TGTCCCCTCACCTGTAATGTGTGTCCTGGGTGGTGGTGGGGGGGGGGCTAGCCCGTGTCCCCTCACCTGTAATGTGTGTCCTGGGTGGTGGTGGGGGGGGGGCTAGCCCGTGTCCCCTCACCTGTAATGTGTGTCCTGGGTGGTGGTGGGGGGGGCTCATTTGCACTCATTTGTGAGGCACTAGAGATCAATGTTAGCTGCCCTTCTGTGTAGATCTGAGCAGTGTTTCAGTTCTGTTATGCCAGTGTTCGTTTTCTTATGTCAGTGTTTGTTTGTTCTCTTATGTCCAAAGATGTATTGTTTGTTTCTTTTTCCTTTTCTCCCCTCCTTTTTATATCCCTATCGTGACGAGTCCTTGATGTCATCCTACGTGCAACAACCTGATTGGCTGCCCCAGATACGCGCATGTTTAAAGGCACATGGGATGATGGAAGCACAGGAATATTTAGAAACTCCTCTTTTGCACAATTTCACTATTGCTAAATATCACTTCGTCAGTCTGGTTTGAGGTGTGAAATGTACGGATATATCAGTGTGTGATCTGCAGTGACCTGAGGGTGCATTCTGTCGCCAGGTTGTGTCGGATGCACACTGCATTCTCCGGACCTGTAGGGCCATTTATTTTCATCTGTTGTGTTTTTTTCCTGTTTTTGGTGGAATTAGGGAGGTGGTTCAGGTTTTTATATTTTTTAAACTCTTCTTTTTGTTGGCTTTCTGCTTTGTGAGACTGATTCTGTGTAGTTAGTGGTGCAGTGGCAGAATTCCACATTTGGAAGGCCTATGTTCGATTCCCCTCCAGTGGCAGAATTCCACATTTGGAAGGCCTATGTTCGATTCCCCTCCAGTGGCAGAATTCCACATTTGGAAGGCCTATGTTCGATTCCCCTCCAGTGCTCTGTTTTTCTTTTTGCTTATTCTTTTTTTTTTTTGAAGTAGGGTCGTAACATAAATTGGGGGCTGGTCTGGGAAAACTTCCAGAATGGGAAATACCCAGCCACCTGCTAAATCATTCCCTAAAATGAATGTCACCCTTGCCCCTGGCACATGAGAATGAATTCCAATCCTTACCTGTCTAGAAACCAATCAGTCTGCAGATAAGCAGCGTGTAATATGCCTCACTGAATGCCTTGAACCAAGACTTCACATCCCCTGTACGTTTGGTTGGAGAACTCCAGAACACTTTCAAGCAAAAAGGATTGAGCTGCTGCAGTATCACACAAGATGGTAACCAGTTGCTATTGGAAATGTCAACTGAAAGGCTTAAAGGTGCCATAGAATGTATTCTTTTTTTTAATTGTTCTGGTGTCTACATAGAAAGTATGTGAACTTTGTGATTTCCAAAAGTGGATTTACATGCCCATTCACAACTCTATAATTGGCCCTAAAAAACAACAGGCCGTTTTCCCTTTTTTGGTGGGATTATTAATATGATAATGAGCCCTGCTCTGATTGGCTGGTTTATAGTGAGGCACTGCAATGGCTCACATAGAACCAACATAGATCACTACAGGTGAGGTGAAACATGGAGCATTTAGGCATACAACCCTATATCTTTGAGCTTATATCGGAGGCAGAATCAGATGTTTAGGAACAGTCAGTTGCATGGAGATTGCAAATGAACACTTCTGAGTGGTAAATTTTGTCATATAATGATTCCCGGAACAATTTGCGTAACTGTTATAATCCCCCTTAATCCTAGTTACAGCGTCAGCATAGTCATAACTGTGCCTTCAGCATTGTATCAAGGACATTGAAATTATTTTTATGTCATGCAGCAATGATTTTATAATACTAGTTTCATCATGCAAGTTTTATTAAGAAGTCTCCCCTCCTAAACCGGGGTCTGTTTCCCCAAAAGCATAGCAGGTAGTAGCATTAGCAACTTACAGGCTTATAACCACGCAAGTGAACGGTGCCGACTACGTAAGCCGCTAAGGGGAGCCTCTGGGAAACGGACCCCTGACTCACCCGTCAAAGATGAACATCAGCCATGCCTGCTGGCCGTTTGGTTCCTTGGGAAGGGCATGAAAAGCGGCGACGTCCCCGTCACAGCCGTGAAAGCAAACTCACGCATACAGCCTGCCATGTTCAGGTAACCATTCATATGCTCACAACACAGCCACTTTCACTACATTGGAGTGATCGATGGGCAAAGCAAAACACTTTCAGGACCTTTTACCAACTAATTTGCATCCCAATAGCAAAGGTCAAGCATCTTTAGGCCAATGCAAAGATTTAGCGATGTGCTTGAATGCTGCAAAGTAGGAATCCATTTAATTTCCTCAAAATTGCAGCATTAGTGTAATTTGCCTCTCCAGGAGAGTCTCGGGACAGGCTGGTGTGGAGGTGTCAGGCGTGGGCTCCTGTAGCTCAGATCTCACCTCTGGCTATTGCCGTCTTTTCAGTCTTAATTTCAAAAGCATGTACTTGCTGTCACTTGAGCTCCATGCTTATGTACACATTTACCATCAGTGGTGTGTCTTTCCATGTTCCTCTCCCCCGCCGTATGCTAATCAGCTAGCAAAATACGTGCCCCCCCATATTTCTCCCCAGTGAGTGTTTGTGCAGGGAGATTATTCTCGCTCATTGGTTTGCTCTGTCCTTTTAAAGATTGTGAAATTAAACAGCTTTGCTTAAACTAAGATCTGCAGTCCGACTTGTGATGTCTATTCCACAAGACAGTGACAGTGACAGTATTGTATATCTTGTAAGACACTTTCTGGGTTTTGACAAAACTAACAGCAGATATAGTGGGTGATTCGCAAGATTTTTAAGTTCTGCTAGAAGGTTCATTTGCAGGAGACCTGTTTCCCCAGATGATTTCCATTAGGTTAACTACCACTGTAGCTCTTTAACCAGTTATTCACGTCTTTGTGTGCAGTTCGTTCTTTTAAAATAAAATCACGTCCAGTCCTCTGTACTGGTCACCTTCATGACTAAAAGCCATATGTTGAATCTCATTTGTTTGATTAAATAATTCATCATGCAATCAGAATTCACTGTCTTTATAGACTAGGGTAGTTTGAAAACAGTCTGGAAAGACCTTGAAAGGTTTTGTTGTGCTGGGAGGAATGAGACTGCAGTCCTTATGGTGGTAGGGGTGAGACTGCAGTCCTTATGGTGGGAGGGGTGAGACTGCAGTCCTTATGGTGGGAGGGGTGAGACTGCAGTCCTTATGGTGGGAGGGGTGAGACTGCAGTCCTTATGGTGGGAGGAATGAGACTGCAGTCCTTATGGTGGCCATGTGCTGCCATGTGCTGCCAGTCACTCGCTGAGAACCAATAAAATCGCTCTGTGGAGATGGACTTAACGAGTCAGTGATTGACAGCACATGACAATCACACTAATTGTGAGCTAATAGGCTTCGTCAAGGTCTAGAACCATCCTTGGAATGTGGACTCGGATAGCGTTAATTCCCACTTCACCGCTTTACCGAAACGCCCTCAATGAGTGTTGAAAATCGACGTGACATTTTTTTATTAAGCCGTAATAAGGAGCGCTAATTGTCGATATGGCAGCTAGTGCCCCACCCTGCCCCCCCCCCCGAAGCCTTGGCTACGCTCTGAGGGTCAGAGTGGGCAGCTAAAGAATCTGGCTTCTCCTCCCACCCCCCCACCCCCGCCCGTGGATGTCCGTTTAGGTGGCCAAGCTTGTGGAAGTGAAGACCACTCCCTGGAGCCCTGGCGGGGGGCAGGCATGCAGGCCCAGGTCGTGAGGACAGCAGATGAGTGTCGGCTTTTGCCTATTAGTGAGATCAGCAGGAGGATGGAGGCAGGAGCTGCTACTACAGAGGTACACTAAAGCCACAGCAGGAGGATGGAGGCAGGAGCAGCTACTACAGAGATACACTTAAGCCACAGCAGGAGGATGGAGGCAGGAGCTGCTACTACAGAGGTACACTAAAGCCACAGCAGCCATGAGGGCTTTTGTTTGCGTGTGGGGGTGGGGGTGGGGGAGGCAGTACTAGTTAATCAAGCTGGAGATGTACGAAAAGCCGTGGGAGGTTAATATGGAGAGACTTTTATAATTCACACAACTTAGGGGGGAACTGAAGCTGTAATATGCACTCCGTCAAAATTCACGCGAAACCACGTGATCACTGAAGGCGGAGCTTTGGTTTAAGGAACTCAGAGGTGTTTCTCAGTGACTCAGCTTGGGATGCGGGTGTTCAAACAAGCATGTCTCATCCTCAGCCATAGGCATTAATAAAAAATGCGTAGATATTACATGCTGCTACTGCGCACGAGTGCAGAAGGTGACACCGCCACCTGAAGTCAGCACCAGAGAGCTGGAGTTCAGCATAATCGTGTCTCCAATCAGCTGCGTGAGTAACTTCAGCTAACAAGGTAAATGAGTGACCAAATCAGCCATCCAGAGCCAGATGATACATGATGGTCGGTAGAGCTTTAAACTGGGGAGCCCTGTTTCAGTCCTGCCTGGCACTAATACACATGCATTGCCCTACACCACGTCTCTAAGGTGACAGTTGGGATTGGAGCAAGTTTTACTCTGACTCTGCGTACAGGCGGGTACCGTAAATGGATGGATGGGGCAGCTGTTTATGTTTCCTGTGCTGCTGGTTCCTCAGTAATGGGCGAAAGGCAGAGAGGATGTGTTCCCTGGGCTTGTCCAAACGGCCGCGATGTTATGTTGGGTGCAGCGTGCTAATGACATGACCCTGGGCTCAGAGCCGCTTCCCTGTAATCAGCTTTGGCAGAACACCTCCTCAATTAGCCCCCTCCTCGATGATGCACAGCTCAGCGATTTTACAGCGTCCATATTTATTACGCTCCGTCCCCATGGAAACAAGGCCCTGTTTAACAGTTTCTGTACTTGCACGTTATCCTATTAAAATGTAATTGGGGGGTGTCAGAACATGGCTGGGCGAGTCATGTTTCGAAATATCTGATCTCATAATCCTACTTGAGAGAGGGCCTTTGTTCACAGGCTTTTTGTAGCTTTTTCGTGGTTCAGTTACGTGATTTGAGGTTACAGACAATCCCAGCGGAAAAGCTCATCTCGCTCAGTGCCCATCGATCCGGCCAGTTCCCCGCGCTCCAAACTTGTGCTTCGTGATCAATTATCTTCAGCCATCCACCAGGGGGAGACAATTTAGATTGTTTTCTGCGAACCCGAGTCTGCAGCCCCATTAATTCTGCTCGCGTTTATTGTCTGGGTGAAAAATCGCCTGTGCGGTGCCTCGTGACTCTCCGAATGCTGACAGACGGGGAGAGGCTGGTTTTCCTGGCATTTCTGTTGCCGAAGGACTGAAGAGGTTCACAGCCGACTGGGGTCAGAACATCATATGAAGGTTGATCCTGAAAGTCATTTTCTTTCTTTATATGGCGAAGTTACACAGATTGTTCAGTCAGTTAGAAGAAGCAAAGTTCTTTGTGCTTCGGCTGGGAGCAGAATAATCTCGGATCACTGTCATATTTCTCCTGGGTCACAGCAAGCTCCTCCCCCAAGCTCCTCCCCAAAGCTCTTCCCCCAAGCTCCTCCCCCAAGCCGCCCGCCTCAAACGCAGCCCCGGAGGCAGCCATTAGTGCCCATAATAAAGTGAAAGCCAATCTGCTGCTTTCATCAGGTCGCTCTAATGAAGCCTCTTGTCAGATGAGGAGTGTCACACCAGGTCCCGTCCATCAGCCATTAAAGATGCTCAGTGCCCCGCAGCTGTGCTGCCATTTAATTAACGGAGATTTCTCCCCTTTAATTATTAATCGGCGCTTTAATAATCGACGCTGGCTCACAGTGCGGGCCCTGGGCCCTGGAGGGTCAGCCCCCTGGGGAGCGGTCTGGACGGAAGCGCTGCGAGTCAGGCCGATGGGGAGGGACTCTGAGAGATGCTATGGATGGGCATGGTTAAGGGGCTTCACAAGGGCACTGACTGCGGCGGGTGGAGAGAACCAAGCACTGTTTGGCGTTTTAATCGGATCCAACGCTCGCAGCTGACCAGGGACCCACAATCCAACGTCCTGGCTGCTCGGGGCCCTGGGGCCCAACGTCCACAGCTACTCGGGGCCCTGGGGCCCAACGTCCACAGCTGCTCGGGGCCCTGGGGCCCAACGTCCACAGCTGCTCGGGGCCCTTGGGCCCAACGTCCACAGCTACTCAGGGCCCAACGTCCTCAGCTGCTCGGGGCCCTGGGGCCCAACGTCCACAGCTACTCGGGGCCCTGGGGCCCAACATCCTCAGCTGATCGGGGCCCAACGTCCTCAGCTGCTCGCGGTCCTGTGGCCCTCGCCTGTGTTTCATGTGGAGATGCAGCTGCCCATCCCTCCTTTTCCCAGCGGTTACTGTGCAGGTAGTGATGCTGGCGAGGTCCAAAGATGCCGGTGGGGGGAGGGGGGAGGGTACCCCACGCCCCGAGTCCGTTAACCTGCCCGGCGTGATGTGTCACGTGACTGTCAGCTCAGCTTAGTCCTAGGGGGAGGGAAAATACTGTCTGTGTCATTTTTCAAATCAGGACTTGATTTGCTTCTCTGCAGGAATCAAACTGTAGGAGATGAAGTAATGAGAGTATTTCACTGCATTGTTAACACTTAAGGAAAGTTGGGGGGGGTCCTGCCCAGAGCGTGACCCCCTCCTTTGGGGGTAATCAGGCTTTCTGCACTAACACGCAGCTCGTCCAGCCTTATGATAATGCAGCCATGTGCTGTATCCTGGTATTTTCGCAGTTCTTCCTCTCGAATATTTATTGACTTTTAAGGACGTTTGCATAACGCTTATGTCTGTTTCGACACCTGATGACATTTATGCTTCATGGCTTTGTAAATGGTACCAGTATTTTGACGGCTGATGTACAGACTGGTTTGATTGGAGCTGGATCCTAGTACTCTGTCTGATTTCTGCTGCTGGACTCCTCTCTTCCATAGAATGACCCTTAACGACATTCTGTATAATTCTACCCTGGCCACCAAAATCTCAAGAAATGCCGTATAGTATCCCGGCCTGGGCGACGTGGGACAGGGGGGGCGTTGCCAATTTCGGGACCTGAGGTGTTGCACTGGGAAAAGTGTCCCTGTGTGTTTGTGGGGACAGCCAGAGATGGACGTCCTCCGTTGGTGTCCCTGTGTGTTTGTGGGGACGGCCAGAGATGGACGTCCTCCGTTGGTGTCCCTGTGTGTTTNGTCCTCCGTTGGTGTCCCTGTGTGTTTGTGGGGACGGCCAGAGATGGACGTCCTCCGTTGGTGTCCCTTGTGAATTTCGCTTATGTATAAATGTGAGTGAGGCAGAGGCCGATGTTACAGGAGCAGATGCACATTTCAGCGGCTAATTTGTTACTCACTGCCTCTAATTCATGCCTTTTTAAATTTAGTACAAAATATAAGTGTAGCCAATGACATGCTATAACCCTGATATGAAAATGAATTCATATGTGAACCCTGTTTTTACTCTGTAAATACAAACTGGATTACCAAGTCCCTCTGATATTACTGCACATGGAAAAAAGCATACTTTGTGTTGTTTGCACTTTGCTCAAAGCAGAGCCACGCCCCTTCAGCCCTGCATCGGACCCTGTCAGGTAAATGTTTGTGGCATCGAGCCTTCATGCTACCTACAAGGAGAACCATATTAACAAAGATCAGTGAAACTGCCTGGTGACTCAAATCCCCAAAAATATATCTATCAAACATGGTCAATTAAAGTAATCCAGCTCTCTGCGGAAAAGCAATGCTGTTGACCTTTCACCCCTGCATGCAGTTCAGTTTGTTTTGCTGGTAAATGCATATTCGCAGTCAAAATTACATTCTTATATTAGATAATATTGTTCAATTGAAGCAAAAAATTATCAGTCGAAGTGTAGTCTTTGGCCCTTCAGAAGATATATCCTCAAGGTGAGATGTCGGCTCTAACATGAGCACATATCCTGTCAGTGAGACTAATGTAGGGCTTACTTGAATGGGCTCGTTAGCTTAGCGAGTGATTATTTCTTTAATCATCTGAATCAATGGTCACCTCCTATTTTCATCGATTACCAAAGTTTGTCTATTTTAAGGGTGGCTATTTTTGCAGGACAGGAAAATTAAACGAAGACACTGAAAAGGCATGAATTGGCTGCAACTTTTGTTTTAGAGAAATCAAGTGACATTATGCATGAAACATGATAAGCTGGCAACTCTTGTTGCATTATTTTGCAATCATTATGAAAGTGGAATGAAGCCCAAATTCACAAATCCGATTATGTACGGACTTATTTGATAGCACTTCAGGAAATTTGTGTGTACTAATAAGTGTCTGAAAAGTATTTTAGGGATAATCCGGCATAATGTATTTCTGTAGATTCAGGAGTATTAGTTTCCTTATGTATAATCAAAAAAGATACCCCTGAGATATGAATTACTAGAAATTAACATATTTTGCTGTTATATATGTATATAACAATTTTCTTTATTATGCTTAAATGTTATGCAATGTGTAGGTCTATAAATGTTTTAAGGGGAGAGCTGAATCAAATTAAACCATTTTGACTGAAGAAAGAAGACACTTTGTATATTATAGACAACTATATAGACTGCTAAATTTAAACTGTTATTTTAAACCATAAAAGGGTCGACTGTATTTACCTTTGTTACATTCAGTATGCCATGTAAAAATATATTTATAAAACTATACAGAAGAAAGGTTTGAGAGAAACCTTAAGGCAAGGTTTAGGCAGAGAGGCCATTAGGACCAGCTGAGGTCAAACTCAGGTGTGCAGTGAAGATAATTATCGGTTGGTCATTCTGCTGTAATCTTCAGCTATAGAGGGAGGGGTATCCATAGCAACAGATGGGGCACCTAGGCATGGAAGTCGTTTGTGCTTGTAGAGAGATGGAGAACGAAGGAGAGATTGCCGCACTGATCCTGAACGAGCGAGATCGCTGTCACTGTTCAGAGTTTGGTCAAGCTGC